TCTTCTCACTCTCTCCGTTCGTTTCTCTCAATTTCCTCTTCTCTCCCTTCCTGTTCCCCTTCTTTCTTATGTCTCCTTCACTTTCGTCTTGTGTACCGGTATCTCTCCTTCTCTTCCTCCCTCTCTTCCTTTCTTTGTTCACCTTTTCTACCTGTACATGTACATGTATGTTGTCATCTGTATCTCTCTCTCTCTCTCTCCCTCTTTCTTGTTTCTTTGTTCCTAATTATTTTCATGCACATACATGTACAGTATCTGCGTCACCTTTCCTCATGTTGTAGATCTCTCTCACTTTGCCCAATTCTTTACTTCGTTCCCCCTTCTATCTCTCTCTCTCTCTCTCTCTCTCCCTTTCACTCTATCTCTCATCTTTTTTCTTCTTTTCTTTGTCTGTCCATTCTTTGCTTTGCCCCCTTCTTTACTTTACTTTACTTAATCCAATGGTGTTGCAGATCTAAGCCTGTTCATCGATCCAGTATTCTTCCATGGTTACTGCTATTTGTGAAAGGAGGAGATTGGTGCTAACACATTATTGTTTTCAGACAACAAATTCCCTCTTTTCTCTTCCCCCTGGTTGAGCAATGAGATGTGATTTTACATGTACAGTAGCTCATCTTACTCTTAAAAGCCATCCCATGAATGAAGCTAAAATTTTAGGTCTCACCCTGCAGTAGAATCTCATACATTGTTGACACCCTTATCACTTTGGTTGCTTTCTTCCCCTGTTTGCATGCCTGCTTGCTTGTTTGCTGCACGTGCAATTTTGCACAAAACAATAGGCACCGATTGACGGAAGGACTGCTTTTTGCAATGCAATGGCTTTGGAGACTCACCCACTTATGGTCTTGATTTAATAGCTCTACGACAAACTTTTTGTCACAGGTATAAATTAATCTTGCACTGGTAAAAGCGAAATAAACTCTTTAGTACTGTATCTATCCAATGGCCATGACAAAGACAGAGTGGCACTGAGCTCTGTGTTATAAGGTACAAAAATGTGAAGCATACAGTACATGTGTATGTACAATGTACATGTATATATTTAGTTAATATGGACTGGCCTTGAGGGAGATACCACATAATATTTCCCAAACTAGACTCATATTGCCCCGAGTCAAAGACGAGGACAATGGTTCTTGTGAGGGAAATATATGTAGTATCTCCCGAAAGTTAAGCCAGTCAATATTGTTATTATTATTATCTAAATCTGACATCTAGAGCAAATACATACATGACAATCTCATAGAACTGAACAAGCTTTGTCAAACCAGCACTGTGCATCGAGCTGCTTGACAAAATTTTCGATACACTGCAAACAGTGTACCCAATTGGTGTGATTATTACGTCACAATAGAGTACGCGCAAAGTGCGCAGGTTCTCGTACGCATAATAGATGCGCAATGAAAATGACAAAATACGGCGCGGTGAATATGGTTTTATATTTCATGCTTTTTTAACACGTAAAGTCCATAGGCTTTTTCATGAAAGGTAAATATGGTCTCATATTCCCCGATTAGCCCTTTTAGGATTACCAGCAAGTGTAATATAATTTTGTAAAACCACTGCTCAGATGTCTGATACGGGTAATAATAATTTACGTCGTCATAAAAAAAATGCTGTGATCAAGTCTGTGCACGTGCAAGCTTCTGACTTACGTTACTTAGTCAATTTCAATGATGAAGGCTCAATGTGACTTTGTGACTTGCTCATACAATTTCCCCTACAGGTGGATTACAAAATTACATGTAAAAGCAGACTGTATTGATTACACTAGTCTGCTTATAAATGTATGTAAAAAAAACAGGACATCATTCCTACCACAACAGGAAATACATGTATATCATCACCTCTTCTTGCTCATGTGAATTTGCCTTTTTATTCTGAATTCCGATTTCTCATTTCAATCTGAAAATAATTTGGTTACAACACTCCTGGTGAAGTGAAATGAGTCGGACTGGGTGAGTGCATGGCATAATAAAAAAAAATAGCTGTCGCACATGAGCCTTACATTTAGATGCGTCAGGATATTTAATGTTAAATAATAAATATGGATGGTGGTAACCAATCCCAGTCTGCTAGTGATTTTGGAAGGAAGGAATAATTGAAGGCATCTTTGTTTGAACTAAAACATATACATGTAAGACTTATTATGTGATCTTCTAGTTGAACCGGTAATAGGATGAAGCAGGTCTCGCCAGTGAAAAAAATAAATCTCGGGGCGAAAGAGCCCCCGAAATGCCCAAAAGAGTCCCCGAAAATCAGAAAAGAGCCCTGTAAATTTGCAGTTCAATGCAAAACAAATTAAAGAGTGTTATTTTTATGCAAGCAAGCTTGAAAAGTAGCCCCCCCAATTTTAAAGTATTTTTTTTCCCTTGGTCTTGCACTGGAACCGAGAGGTACCCTTCATGAGCTCCTCCAGTCTACTCCATCCAAGATCTCTGTACATGTAACACTATTTTGCCTGCCATAGTCATTGTTGATATGTATGGCAGCCAAGATAAATACATGTATGGCAGCCGAGTACTTTCTTCTTCTTCTTTTTCTTCATCTTATTCATGGTCTTCCACATTTTCTTCTTTTTCTTTATCTTGTCATGTTCCTCTTTGTCTTTCTTCTTTCTCCTTTTCTCCATCTTCTTCTTCTTCCTCTTCATGCTTCCTCTTCCTCTTCCTCTTCATCTGATTTGTCATCCTTCATCTTTGTTCTTGTTCCTCCTCCTCCTCCTCCTCCTCCTCCTCCTTCTTCTTCTTCTTCTTCTTCTTATCCATCTTATTTGTTATCCTCCATCTTTTTTCTTGTTCTTTTTCTTCCTCTTCTTCTTCTCATTGTTTTTATATTATTTGTAATCTTCCATATTGTTTTTCCTCACCTTCCTTCTTCTGTTACTCTGAAAGTTCAGCATGGCAGTTTGATGGCACATTACAAGAATTCATTATTTTCTTGCTGAATTAAATGTTTGATCTTCCTGATGGCATAAGAGACCATTACAATTGAAAATAATAATAGTCATAAAAACAAATAAACATGTTCTACCATCAATATAAAAATTAATAATGACTTTTATAACATGTAGAACTTTCCTTTACAATTATATTTACTTTCTAGCCAATGCTCAGACCAAAGGCTTCAGTCTCTTTATATATTGACTGTTGCTAGTTTGCAACATGTACGATGTGACAGTGACTATGTTGTATGTCTGGTTCCACTGAATGCCTCCATACAGAGAAGGTTATAATTTTTTGTTTGTTAGTTTAAGTGTCCGGACACCCTCCCCCCTCGATCCCCCTCCCTCCCCCCCCCCCTCATTACTATGGTACCTACACTAGGCCTAGGGGCTGCATGAATCTTTATACCAAAAAAAAGGAGACAAATAAAATGTCAAGATAAAAAATCAAATAAACATAAAATTAGAATCTCTGAGAACATGAACAAAATATGCGATAGATTATCATAAAGTAATTTGTGATTTTAAAAATAACAGACATCTTCATGATCTCGTAGTTTCTATTTCTATATTTCTATTCTGCTACTTGTCAAAGCCTGTTCAGCATCTAGACAAGGGTGATCTTCTGCCGACGGTGGACGGCTTGTGTGAATTTGTGCCGAAATATACAGTATACAGTCATGTACATGTACATGTTTATGGTACAAGTAAAAATGTAACACTTTGTTAGTTACCTCTGACATCTAGATCTATAAAACCAAATAAACAATTATAATATCATCCTAATAATTTATTGAATAAATAAAATCAAAGCATAGTATATTAGTAACTAGACCGAAAACTTCAGTCTCTCTAATTGTCGGTTGTTCCCCTGAGACTACGTCTGGCTCCACTAGACCTCCGATTATAGAGACTGAAGTACGGCCTATGGGGACCGTGAGGGTAGAGTGACCGAACAGAGATGAACGAAATGCTCCGAGGTTTTTCTCTTTTTACGTCTTCATCAAATCTAATTTTGCTGCCATTCTACAGCCCCCGTTATCTATACAATAACAAAAAACTTAAATATATACTTTGACTTACGATAGCTTGCTTATTCAGCTCCAAAATTAATGATTAGAGTCTAATCCGAGAAAGTCTCGTAGTCGTTGTCAGCCTTCTTGGTTTTAGTTGATGAATATTAATTTTTTTCTTTGTGAACGTCCAATAGCTACTGTAGCTACATGTATGTACAAGTCAGCCCGGCTTGATCTACGAAACGAGTGCTCTGATTGGCCATTGGCTATGTTTTGGTAGGTTGACCCGGAAATATATCGGCCGCCGGGTCATATAGCTCTAGGCCTATAGAGTCTATGTTTGAGTGCATGAACGTACGGTTTCACAGTTCTGAGACGAAAATGGGACAATTTGTATAAGTAAGTCTATAATTTTCATATTTGTATAAGATTTCAATTAAAAATATGTAGTGTAAATAGCAGAACACTACTTATACCTATTTTACATCTGATTTAGAAATCAGAAAATTAGATCTAAATAAAGAAAATCGGGGGAGAAATGTCGGGAACAAAAAGATGTTCCGCTGTGCCCTCGATTACCCACACGGTACGAGATCTCTGGGTCACCGTCTGTATTGGGGAATGTCAACAAATGTCAGTTTTATTAAAGAAATGGGCTTGGACCCAAATCAGACGGTTATTTCTGTCTAATTAGTAACAAACTGAACAAAAAGAGAAATGTTGATGTTGCATCTCAACAAAATAAAAAAAAATGAACGTAAAATTAAAGTTTCTCCCAAGAACAAGTCTTTTCAATGCTGTAATCATGTGCTTGAAAGTAGTCAGGAATTTTTGATCATGTCATAACAGCTGACCACTTGTCTATTTGAAAAATTTTGTCGATCGTTTATCAACAATCATGACAATGGTATTCACTGCACTCCATGCAGCTGGAATGCCTCAACACAAGCCCACACGTCCATTTTTACGTCATGTTTACAACCTTGCACCACCCATTAACACAGACACACTGCAAACGTCAAACAGACTCGAACACTTACCTCCAACTACGACTAACTTATACTCCGTCATTCTCGAATCTCTTGGCAGCTCTCCGCCCGGGAAATGGCACCAGCAGTGTGAGAAACTAGGCCCAGAAGCTAGATTTTCTAGTCTAAAATCTCCAAATCAAAGAAGAAACAAAACTCGCTGATGTAAACATAAGGGCTGTGACTACAAAAAATCACATAGCGATCCGAGATTTATGATCGTGAACACACACACACAGTACATATCGCTGAATACATTGTGGTCTTTATATACGACGCCCTAAATGTGAAATATCTCTCAAAGCTAGTATCTAAAAATAGCTCACGGTCGGTTACTGGGAATTTCTAGTCTTTTAGAAGACAATTTTATAAACATTTGGTACAAGATTATCAATATTTCACCACACAAAGACTCTCTTATTATACTAGTGCACCATATAGACAATTTATATTCTATGAAGCTATTTAATGAATTTTGCATTGTAGAATATGACTGAAAATACATTTTATACCAATTGGAAATCGAAATATTCGTTATAAAGGCTAGCTGAACTGTTGAAGCTTGGCAAAAGATGGCGATAAACATAAAATAAATATGGGTCACATACCTTCATGGACAATTAGGGCAGAAAAAATATTCATATTACACAATTTACCCAAATCTTACATATTGTTTGTTATTATAATCATATTACTTGATGGATTTGTTTTGAGGCAATGCTATGCATGAAACAGATCCAAGGCTCTTTTTGTATGTCGCAATTAAATCAAAGAAAAATGCTCATTGAGGATATATATATATATATATATATATATATATATATATATATATATATATATATATATATAATTAATTCGATCTTGAAAAAATAAAAAATAAATTCTCATACTTTATAACTCATACTGGATTTAAAGAAGAGTTATTCATGTGATTTCTTTTCATTTTAAACATTTCAAGTGTTATTAATTGACAAATCATGCGATATGCTTGACTGCAATATCAGCTAAACCTGTCTCATATAATACCTCGATCTCTATTTAGAGGCCTCTGTCATATTGTCGCCTTGTATTTTGTCTCCCTCGACTAGCAAGAATGGTACAGTCAAACCTGTCTATAGCGACCGCCCAAGGGAAACACAAAAAATGGCCTTTGTATATAGACAGGTGGTCTTTGTAGACAGGTTCCTCTATCAACGAGAAACCATTTTCAAGGGAAACAACAAATGTGGCCTTTGTAGACAGGTGGTCTTTGTAGACAGGTTCCTTTAGTACATGATTCAACGAGAAACCATTTTCAAGGGAAACAACAAATGTGGCCTTTGTAGACAGGTGGTCTTTGTAGACAGGTGGTCACTACAGCAGGTTTGACTGTATATTGAAAAACCTGTCTAGCGGCCAAGTGTACCTGTCTCCATCAGTGGCCATCAAATTATCTGATTCCCTTGAGAGGTCTTTAAAAGACAGGTTTGACATGCAGTATCATCTTTTATAAGTATCAGAACACTGAAATCTGCTATGTGACAAAAGGGGATTAATTATGGGGTGAACTATATAACCTGTATAATTATAAAGGCTATAGCTGCTCAAGGAAAACGTGAAAAGTGGTCTTTATAGACAGGTGGCGTGTAAACAAAGTTGGTCGCTAAAGTAGGTTTCCCTTTATATTATATAGTTAAACACGCTTCAACTTTATATTATCTATGCAAACGATATGACCTTGATTGTGTAGTTGTCACATTCGGCGTTTCTTTCTTTCTTTCTTCTCCTTTTGATGAAAATGAATGCAGCTAGCTGATTGTAGACCTAGTTATTGTTGACCGTTATAACAAGTCAAAATATTGTCTGAGCAAGAAGAGAGAGAGAGAGAGAGGAGGGGGAGAGAGAGAGAGAGAGAAAGAGAGAGAGGGGATGGAGAGAGAGAGAAAGAGAGAGAGAGAGACAGTGAAGGGGAGATTGGAGCTCAGGAGTGATGAGAGAAAGAGAGAGAGAGAGAGAGAAAGTGAAGGGGAGATTGGAGCTCAGGAGTGATGATATATATATATATATATATATATAGAGAGAGAGAGAGAGAGAGAGAGAGAGAGAGAGAGAGAGAGGGAGAGATGAGAAAGAGCAGTTTCGTATATGGAATCGAAAGAGAGAAAAAGAGATATGGCCACTGGCGTACCTACGGGGGGGGGGCAGGGGGGGCAGAGTGCCCCCCCTGACGGGCTCCAGGGGAAAAAAAGAAAAAGGGGAAAGAAAAGAAAAAAAGGAAAGGAAAGAAAAAGAAAAAAAGAAAAGGGAAGAAAAAAAGAAAAGAAAGAGAAAAAAGGAAAAAAGGAAAAGGAAAGAAAAAAGGAAGAAGAAGAGAAAAGGAAGAAAAAGGGAAAAGAAAAGGAAAGGGAAAAAATGGGGAAATTAAAAAAAAAAGACCATGGCCGTACGCACCAGGGGGGGGGGGGGGGCAGTTGACCCCAGATATTTTGAAAACGTACAGTTTTTTTCCTGAAAATGTAGTGTAGGCCTATACCAAATCCTTCAATTCTACTTTTGAAAATGCAAAAGTACCCTCATGACCAGTTCGGTCGCTCGAACTCCCTTCACTCCTTTTGCTTTTGAGATTCTCCGAAAACTTTAAACGCATCTTTTCCCCTCCCCCACCAGAAAAATATTCCTTATACGGCCCTGAAAAATTTAGACAAATGAAAATAGGAAAATATAAGTGATATAACAAATTCGAAACTCTTCGCTGGCGCGAACTGCTTGCTAGCCTATTTTGTATTAAATGTTTTCACTTGCTCGTCCCCCTGAAAAAAGAAAAGGATTAGCATTGCCTAGAATACAATTGTGCCTGCCCCGACGGGCCCCGACCTGCAACCATGGCAACAATAACACACAGTGTATGTACCAAATGTTACTAAAAGAGAGTAATTCATTTTTCTCGCTCGCTACACTTGCTCGCGAATAAAATGAATAGATATTGCTTTGGAAACAATTGTGCCCACCCTTGACCTGCAACAATATCATTAAAAATGGAAGAGTTTTTACGCCCTCTCGCCAAAAAGGAATTGAATCGCGTTAAACACGATTGCGTCCATTCTGACCTGCACCAATAAAAACTAGTTTATTTATTAATTTCTATTAAAAGAGAATTTTTTTTTGCTTGCTCGCTATGCTCGCTCGCCAAAATGGAATTGACACCGCTAACGTGCCCGCCCCAACCTGCAACAACCAGTTAATGATTATGTACCAAACGTTATTCAAAGAAGTTTTGGTGTGCTCGTGCTCGCCAAAACGGAATTAACATCACCTTAGACATGATTGTGTAAGCCCTGCCCTGCAACATATATCTGAAATTTATGAACCAATTATCATTACAAAAATTTTGCTCGCTCGCTACGCTCGCTCGCCAAAATAGAAATAACACCGCTTTTAATAATCACGTCCCTGACATGGAACAATGAACCCAAGTTTATGTACCATATTTTCCCTATAAAAGAGAAGTGATTTTTTTGCTCGCTCGCTCGCCTAAATAGAAATAACACCGCTTTTAATAATCACGTCCCTGACATGGAAATATGAACCCAAGTTTATGTACCATATTTTCCCTACAAAAGAGAAGTGATTTTTTTGCTCGCTCGCTACGCTCGCTCGCCAAAATAGAAATAACACCGCTTTTAATAATCACGTCCCTGACATGGAACAATGAACCCAAGTTTATGTACCATATTTTCCCTATAAAAGAGAAGTGATTTTTTTGCTCGCTCGCTACGCTCGCTCGCCTAAATAGAAATAACACCGCTTTTAATAATCACGTCCCTGACATGGAAATATGAACCCAAGTTTATGTACCATATTTTCCCTACAAAAGAGAAGTGATTTTTTTGCTCGCTCGCTACGCTCGCTCGCCAAAATAGAAATAACACCGCTTTTAATAATCACGTCCCTGACATGGAACAATGAACCCAAGTTTATGTACCATATTTTCCCTATAAAAGAGAAGTGATTTTTTTGCTCGCTCGCTACGCTCGCTCGCCTAAATAGAAATAACACCGCTTTTAATAATCACGTCCCTGACATGGAAATATGAACCCAAGTTTATGTACCATATTTTCCCTACAAAAGAGAAGTGATTTTTTTGCTCGCTCGCTCGCCAAAATAGAAATAACACCGCTTTTAATAATCACGTCCCTGACATGGAACAATGAACCCAAGTTTATGTACCATATTTTCCCTATAAAAGAGAAGTGATTTTTTTGCTCGCTCGCTACGCTCGCTCGCCTAAATAGAAATAACACCGCTTTTAATAATCACGTCCCTGACATGGAAATATGAACCCAAGTTTATGTACCATATTTTCCCTACAAAAGAGAAGTGATTTTTTTGCTCGCTCGCTACGCTCGCTCGCCAAAATAGAAATAACACCGCTTTTAATAATCACGTCCCTGACATGGAACAATGAACGAGAAGTGATTTTTTTCGCTCGCTCGCCAAAATAGAAATAACACCGCTTTTAATAATCACGTTCCTGACATGGAACAATGAACCTAAGTTTTATGTACCATATTTTCCCTATAAACGAGAAGTGATTTTTTTCGCTCGCTCGCTACGCTCGCGAGCTCGTGGAATTATGTGCCCACCACTAACCTGCTACAATATCATTAAAAAGAGAAATGTAGGCGGTTGCCTGCCCGCCAAAATGGGATTGACATTGCCTTAAAACAAGATTGTGCCCGCCCCCGACCTGCAACAATGAAACAAATTTTATATAGCAATTCATTGAGAGAAAGATGTATTTAGGCTCGCTAGCTAAAATGGGTATGAAATCACCCTAAACACAATATTGTTCCCGCGCCCTGCATGGGACAATTGAACCAAGTTTAAGTGGCAATTATTAAAAAAGGAGTGATTTTTTTCTTGCTCGCTACGCTCGTTTGCAAAAAAAAATGAAATTAACGTCGCTAACAAGTGAATGTTCCCACCCCAACTTGCAACAATACCAGTTTATATACCAAACGTTACTTAAAGATTTTTTTTTGCTCGCTCGCTCGCCAGAAGTGAAAATTAGTTTGTTTCGGTCGCTTGCCCCCCCTGACGGAGTACCCCAGGTACGCCACTGGATATGGCTATAGTTCAAGGCTCGAAAGGGATATCGGTTTTGTTTTGATATTTAGATAAGAAAGGCTTTCTGATATTTATTTTTTGTGGGGGGGATGGGGCCTTTTATTGTACCGATCTGTAGGCCGAACGAAAACAAAATTCCTTCGTTTCATAAAAGGCTGAGCC